GGTCGAGATCTTCGACTCGAAGGGTCCAGGTCTCACAGCCGTAGAGAAGAACGGCTCTTACTGTGGTCCTGTACACCCGTCCCTTAAGTTTAAGAGAAATCCCTTTGTGACACCAAAGATGTCTCAAGTCATGGGAGGTTGCTCTGGCCTTCGCGATTCTCGCATCTATTTCACGCTTCAGGTTTCCCTCCGAGCTCACGCAACTTCCCAAGTAAGTGAAGTGATCCACTACGCTCAATTCCTCGTTTCCCAGCACAAGGGGCGACACTAGTGCAACAATATTCTGAAGTAACACTTTACATTTTGAGGGAGCGAATTGCATCCCAAAGGAGGTTATAATACACAGTAGGTTGTCCAGGGTCCGCTAAGTGGCATCCTGTGATTCAAAAAGAAGAACGATGTCGTCGGCATAATCTAAATCAAGAACTGTGTCTTCAGAAGAAATCCGGACACCCGAGAACGGCGAATCTTTCCTGCACTACTGTTCATAATACTGTAGATTCATTTATAGTTATATTAACTAATAACATGAAACGTATGCAAAGAGCACTTCTCATCAAAAATAATATTCTTCAAACATTTTAAGACCTATAATGGTTAACAAGATAAAGATACAACGTAGTACACCGAAAAGGCTTGAATATCTAATAATTCCGAGCGATTCACCACAAGTTCTTACCTTTTTCTTATGTTTTTCTTTCTTAGATTTTTCTTTTGAGTTTAACTTCTCTTTCTTCTCAGATGATTGTTTCTTTTGTTTTTCTTGCTTGATGATTTTTCTTTAACACTATTACCATCTTTCAATTTATCAGCTCCTTCAGCTATCTTGTGGTCTGAACTCTTCAGTCGTTCTTCGTGTTTCTTCATCTTTATTTCATAAAACAAATCATTAGATTACAAACATAAAAAGTACTTTTGTACTTTAAAAACAATAAATAAAAACCAAACCATTATATTCATACTTAAAAATATTGTTATTACCAAGAATCATATTCAGATGCTAAATCAAGAATATCTATAGGATATTAAAATTGGACTCACATCAACACAAAACTGGAAATGTACCAAGAGAGAATTAAAAAAACTTTTAAACATTCATATATATGTTCTAAATTCGAGAAAAGATTGAAATCATACTTACAGATAAATCACTGTCACTGCTGTCTTCAATTTCTACAAATTGTTTACTGATAGCGGTTTTATCCAAACGAGATTTTCTTGGACCTTTAATTTTCTTAGACTTCTCCTGACATATAAGAATAAACATATGAAACAAGCACGCTAAATTTCCTAGCTGAAAATGTTACTTAAAGGTTTCATCTAAGTTTTATAAACACAGATTATTTGTGAAAGTAGATTGAATTTATCAGAAACACTTGGTTTCATTTGACAAGCTTTCCTTTTAATCTATTTCAAACAATATAAATTGTTCATTGTTAGTGAAGTCATTTTAGTGATTCACATTTTCTTCACTTCAGTAAAAGACTTTCACTCATGACCAGTTATAATAGGAGAATATTCAAAAACCATTAAAAACAAACATTATGTTCACATGTTAAAAATATACTGTCTTATATATATTAAAGAAACCATCTGACAGTGTAATTTTGAGCTTAAGCAAAACTCAGTACTATCCATTTTCTTCAATACCTTATTTCTATTTTAATCAAACATAGAAAATAGTGGTAGTCCCTTATTAAACATCTGTTCATAAATATGAAATAAGATAACTTTTTGGATTATGTGCTTGAAAAAATAACTGACCCTGAGAAATGAGTTTAAAACAACTAGCATAGAGCATAATGTGATTTGTTTCATCTCAGATATACATTTCAGAACAATTTTACCTACATTACCTTATAAGTAATCACTAACAATTAGTTATCTATGAACCACACAGTCATGTAACCTGACTAAATACAAACAACCAAACAAAAAGTCAAATCACCAATCACACACACACACACAAGTACATTTAAACAGTTTTCTGTAATGGTGCCAGTTTAGTTAAAAACTACTACTGCATGCATACCACATGCAGATCCAACATGACGATAAGATGTGAAAACTTGTGAAACAAGTGGAATCAGGACAAAAAACTTATACTCTTTGTACTTCTCATAAAAACAAAATATAATCTAGTCAGTTTTGTCACCTTTAAGTATAAAATTATAAAAATATTATAATATTTTCAAAAATAACATCACAGCAAGCTGATAGAATAATTTTTCATTTGCTTGGTCACTAGTAATAATCCAAGCAATCCTAAGTACTCTGATTTTGCTTGTTGGAATGAAAGATGAATTCAAACAATGTTTTATATTTACGTTTTCTAACATGTATAATTTTTCACGGCCTTTTAATGAAAATGTTATTTCAGAGTTACTAAGATTTTTTAAAAGCTATAACTATAGATGACCATCACAGTCCATGGTCCTCACACGTACATGGGTTTAATCTATCTAACAACACAAAACTCAAGACTTTTTATAGAAAATAAAATGCTAAAAAAGTAAATTAATATACCTTGCCAGCTTTCTGCCTTTCTAAGGTTCGATGCAAGACTTTTAATAAATAGTCTGCTCTTGTTTGGAGTTGCTTAGCTTGTGGTTTCTGATCCCCATCTGGTAAAATCTGTAAAATAAAAATAAAGATAACAATAAGCATGTAACAATAACTGAACTTAAAGATCCTATTACACCTGACTAACCATATTCACACCCTGAAAAGAAAGTGGTAACTTTTCAAGTAAACAATATGCGTAAAAAGGAAAAACTGCCCTGTGTTTCTCATTCATTGCACAAACATATCAGCAATTTAAGCCAGAAAATGATGCGTTTAGAAAACTTTGTAACGATAAAAATAAGTGCTTATTTATAAGAATCTCAAAATTAAATTTAGTGAAGTAAGCTCTCAAGTTTACTGCTGAGCCACCATGAGTAAGAGTTGAAAAAACAAAACATTTTATTGAACTTTTTTATGGATATGTTAAAAGGCTGATTGAAAAAAAAATTTAATCTATATTGTTACCTTTTCTCCTAGCTCTAAATTTGGATCCATCTTTATGGATTCCCAGTTTCCCATTCCATATTCATAAATACCAATCAATAATCGAGAATCATCTTCTTTACACCATGGAACGTCCCAATGTGTGTCTTTACACACTGTACTCATTTCCCACCTGAAACATTATTAATTTAGAAAGAAGCAAACATTATTTACAGACTGTCATTAATGTACACTATGATGATTCTTACAATTTCTGTATATACATTGTTTTTCCAAGACAAAACCGTTTTCAGCCCAAATTTGAAATATATGTTGTTTTTGTGGTTGTCTATACCTTTTTCCATTGTCATGAAGGGAACCTTAAAATGTATATATGGAGTGGAAAAACTTTGCTCTTCACATTTAAAAAAAGACAATGAAAGAAACTAATTACCAATTTGCTGTTTATATTTAACAATGACTTACCTCAAACGTTGTTTAGGATCTGTGGGAAGACATGTTTCAAGGGGTTCTAGATCTTTCATAGCATTAAAAACTGTCTTGGCATTAACTGTAACTCCAGACAGTTTAATAGATGGTCCTCTGTCACGACGCTTGCCAGTAGCTGTACCCACCGAAACTGATGTGTAAAGAAAAAAAACGTATGAAATGTTCAGGTTGTATAATACACAGCTCATATGCTACTCAATGAGTTAGACAGGAGTTGACCTATAATCTGAGATTATTTTATAATCAAACACAGCAGCAATGTTATTGATTTTTTTCCAAATTAAAAACATGTAAAGCTAAAAGCCCCTATTGCTCACATAATTTTTAAAAAAAAATCCACACTAGTAACAGTGACAGAAAAGCTGTTCTCCAAAATGACCATAATATATATGTAATGTTTCACTTGGAAAAATCAGTATCTTGACATAAAATGCACTGTTCCAGGTAGTCAATGCCTAGATGGGTCTTGTCCAGTAATTATTACCTCTAATGCTCCACAGTGAACAGTGAAGTTCTTTAATCATAAGAGATAGTATAAATACTGAACACAAAATTAACTAAATGGCTTAGAAAGACTCAGTAAACACAGAAGCCTCAGCCACTTACGGTGCTACTAACACAACAAAAAAAAATTTAACAAAAACATACAAGAAACGAAATACATGTAGATTCTAACTAAGGTCTAGTAGCCAACAACTCATTATTGTAGGTACATATCAGTTTTTGTTAAAGTTTAATTACTTTTTGGAGTTATTTTCTTGTATAATAATTAATCATTTTATAAGTTTCATAGCACTAAGAAAGGAACAAATACTTTTCAACACAATTTTACAAAAGATGCATTATATCTAATATGATTTCATATTACTTAAAGAAGTCTTTGTTTTTAAAGTCTACATTATATTTTCTAGGTAGCTAACTTGATACAGTATTTTGCCACACTGAACACTGATCATGATAATGCCTAAACTAAAGAATACATGATTACAATATAAACAAAATATAAGCAAAATTTTCTAAATAAAACAATGTAAAAATGAAATACTTTCACATTATGATGGAATACATAAAAAATGTAAATCAAATTACCTATTTCAATTTCTAGTTACAGCAAAGCAATATTTTGTACTTACGGTTACTGTCTTCATTTTGATTATCTTGCTTCAACGCATGATCAGTCATGGCTGTCTGACACCCATTGTACAGTAAGTCTGCTAAACGCTTCAGATCACCCATTGCTTTTTCTGTTAGGTCTGCATCCATTGCAATGGATTCAAGTCTGAAAAAAAAAAAGATAAAAAAAATCATAATCATCTCATTAACAGGAATGATCCTTATTAAATCTAAACTTTATCAAAATTATAATCTTTCCCAACCATCACTCCCAAAAGTTGTACTCACAACACTTTTCAAAATCCTAAGTTATCATTTAAAAGATTTTTCATTAACCCTTTCGATACGGGTCACAGGTGAAAGGCCATGTCATCTCGTTTGTTGACTTACATTCAAAATTTTATTGAATTACCATTTCACGAATTGATGTCAATAAGTTTGGTATCAAACTGTAGATTATAATTCAAATTTTAGAACTATACATTACTCAATTTGTTAATTTAAAGGTAAATATTTAAAAAACAGATAAACATTGATTTTTGTGTGTCACTTGGTATGTTGAATGTAGCACTAGTTCAAATTAGATATCTGTGAAGTCAAAGTACTAAGTCTATAGTTTCATACAAATTACAGATATTGACAAGCTAGAATAAAAAATTAGAATGTATTATCTTTTCTATTTGCTAAGATATTGCTCATGTAATAAATCAAACATAGTGGCACCTCGCTCACCTGCTTCCATTTTTGGAAATGCTACCTTATAAGCACTTACTTCTATATATGACATGTATAACCAATCAGAAGCTCAGAATGTCCCCTAGTGGTTTTAAGCCTTTCATTACTTTCTTTTAAATCAAGATTACAATGAGGTAGGTTGTGTCTTTAGTCTGCTCAAAATTTCATATATTTTTAGATCCAAATACAGTTTAGTTACTACATTTGATAAAGTATAGTGAAATTCTATGGTACTGAAGTAGTAATTTATGCTTTTTTAGTTATTCAAATGTATATATAAAAGCCAATAAAAATTTATTTTGTTTCATATTCTCCACGTGCAAAATAGTTAAAGGCTTAGCAACCTATGTCAAGCAGCAATCAAGTGCAAAGGTCGTAACTAGAAGAGGTAATTGTTCGTTTTACTTCTTTATTTACTGTTCTATGTTTTAAGAAAAATAACTTTAAGAACTTATTTCAAAATAGCAATAATCTATATACATATATAATGTATAATAATTGAAATGTGATTGTATTTTACAAAATACTAGTTGACTAAAACACAGCCAGGACAAGTTACTTTGTACAGACCAAAGGTCACCTTTGTGTTATTTGAGTAACATGAGTACACGTGAGCCACGTTGTTGTAGCTTCTGTATTGTTAGCCAGGCACAGCTAAAAGTTGAATAAAAATAATAAATATATATAAATGTATAATGTAATGAGATTTAAGCTATTTCGTCTAAACATTTATGTTTTCGTTATAATTTGTGTTCATTCTATGATGAAAGGTGCATAATTTTGTTTATTTCCTAATTTTTTGAGATGGTTGCAAGATCGGTCAAATTTATCGAACCGATACAGAGATTAATTGCTGAAAATAACAGATAAAATATAAAGTTTTTTTAAGAAATGTTTGATAACTATTTGGACATTATAAAGATTTCTCATATAAAATTTCAAAATTTTCTGATGCATAAAGGTATTTTTTATGTTAAGATGAAAATTACTTTGCATGATAGATAGGCAAGATGTGACAAG